CATGAATTATCACAAGATCACAATTACAAATGGTAAAGCATCTATAAAGAAAGAATATCATCACATTATATTTGATGTATATTCAAGCGCCGGCTGGAGGAATACAGACGAGCAGACTGAGGAGACTGCAAGGACGCTAGAAGACCATACAGATGAACATGCATCATTCAGCTAGATCCAATACCTGTCTGTCTGCTCTCTGTAGACCTGTCTTCTGTGTATCAGTATACAAAGTTAACTAACCCTGTGACCATGCTGACGTCTGTGCAGGTTGATGGCGGTGGAGAGGACTGAAGAAGGATCATTGACATTGGAGGCGGTGGTCGACTCAAACAGAAGATCTAGAGGCCAGTACGCTGACCCCCCCTCATGTCTAGCTGCTCTCGTCTAGCAGGTCAGGGGGTACTGGCCAGCCAGTAATAATAAATACAATAATACAAGGTTTCAGATATTTATATAAATGTTATGTCAATGGAATATAATATAATCGAATATTTAGTAGACGTAGCTAGAACTGCTGATGAAAGGTTTATATTCGAACAACTTATTCGCTGTCTTGCTCTCATCTCTGTCTCATCTCTGTCTGTCTGTCTGTCTGTCCTGTCTCTGCTGTCGTCTCTCTCTCTTGTCTTCTCTCTCTGTCTGTCTGTCTGTCTTCTGTCGTCTCTCTCTCTCTCTCTGTCTGTCTCTCTCTCTGTCTCTCTCTCTCTTCTCTGTCTGTCCTTTGTCTCTTCTGTTCTCTCTCTCTGTCTGTCTCTTCTGTCTGGTCTGCTCTCTCTGTCTCTCTGTCTGTCTGTCTCTTCTGTCTGTCTCTCTCTCTGTCTGTCTGTCTCTGTCTTGTCTCTCTGTCTGTCTCTTCTGTCTGTCTCTCTCTTCTCTGTCTGTCTGTCTCTGTCTGTCTCTCTGTCTGTCCTCTTTTGTCTGTCTCTCTGTCTGTCTCTCTGTCTGTTGTCTCTCTCTCCTCTCTCTGTCTCTCTCTCTGTCTGTTCTCTCTCTCTGTCTTCCTCTCTGTCTGGTTTCTCTCTCTGTCTGTCTCTCTGTCTGTCTCTCTTCTCTCCCCTGTGCTCTCTCTCTGTCTGTCCTCTCTGTCTCTCTGTCTTCTCTCTCTGCTCTGTCTCTCTCTGTCTGTCTCTCTCTCAGCTCTCTCTCTGTGTCTGTCTCTCAGAGAAGAGGATTGACGAGTCTCACCCGCTAACAGTTCCTGATGGCGGCGCTGACTAAACTGAAGGAGGGGTACGCTGTTGACATCACAGAGGACGGGCTGTCTCCTAGCAACACGTAGTCTCTGCAGATCACCGAGAAGCGGAGAGTTTCGGAACTACGGCAACTGCTGAAGCTCTGATTGGCTCTAACGGAAGGCAGGGGGAGGCTTATCGGATGATGTGTGGGCAACAGAAGGCGGGGCTACATGTTAGACACGCCGCTAAAGTATCAATCAATGCTGTTACCACGACTGTCATCACTGTCACCGTCGCTACAGATGGATCTGACTCCAGGCTCTGTTGCTCAGGTTACCTTCAGTTTGCTGTTTTTGTTTTTGGCATGTTTCTTTTTTCAATATTATTACAAAGTCTGACACCTATCACTTGGTTTTTTCTTTTGGTACTTCTGTTGAGAGCAGACCCGCCAACAACCCCAGACTGCACGTCTTTATGCTAATTGGACCACTCTGCTTGTATATGGCATCTGTCGATTGACAACTAGCAGTCACATAATGACTGTCTTAATGGACAAAGACTGTCTTATATATGGCTCTGTCTTATGGGCAAACCTGTCTTATAATAAGTGGCTATGGTCTGTAATGGACAAACCTGTCTATATACTGGCTCTGTCTTTATGGACAAACGACTGTCTATATATGGCTGCTGGTCTTATGGAGCAAACGCTGTCTATAATAGGTGGCTCTGGTCTTTATGGACAACCCTGTCTTATATATGACTTCTGGTATTATGACAACCCTGTATATACTGGCTCCTGGTCTTATGGCAAACCTGTCTTAGGTATACGTGGCTCTGCTCTTTTATGGGCAAACTGTCTATATATAGGTGGCTCTGGTCTTAATGGACAAACTCTACAGCTTTGTTGTAACTCTGACTGTATATAGCTCTGGTGTGACCAGAGCAACCGTGGCTGTATATGGCTCTGGTGTTTAGCAGTTTCTGTTTAGATGAAAAACTTTATTGAGAGACGACACGTGGACAGTTTGTCCGATGGAATATATTCATAACTCTTTATGTCTTAAAGGGACAGTCCAACTCTTTAGTCTCAGTCCAGTACACAGAGAGGGTTAGCCTAGCTTAGCACAAAGACTGAAAGCGGGGGGGAACTGTTAGCATAGCTCCATCAGAGCAACCTTTGTCTGACTGTGTTGAGCGTTGGGCCGCTCCGGGCTTCCGTAGAGGTGGATGTGACATTAGTTTGTGTTGTTTCAGAGAATTCTACTGATTTTAATGTAAACTTCAGATTTTATTGTAAAACTTTAAATTGTGATGATCAGTTTGTACACACACACACACACACACACACTCTCTGTGTCTGTATTTAAACTCTTTCTGTTGTTATTTATCAACATCAGTATTTATAAACAGATGCTCCAATAAACTATTCCACTATCAGACTGTTGCCATGGCGATGAGTCACACACACAGTCTGACAGTAACTGGTTTTATTAATGAGAACACAGCACGCAAACACAGGAAGTGATGTCACTGGTCGGTGGTCCAGTACTCGTGGTTCCAGCCCAGGAACCAGCCGGTGAAGGTCGGCGGTTCGAATCCCTGTTTGACGGTGACGGTGGGGGTCCGAGGGTCTCTGTCCGCCGGGTCGCTCTCAATGTACCTGACAGCTGCACACACGCAGGTAGCTGTTAGCATCTTGCTAGCACAGCGAGGACAAGCTAACCTCAGGGGTCACCTGCCGATCAATAATTATCTGATCACACCTGTCTGTCTGTCAGTAACTTCCTGTCTATCTCACCTGATGATGCTGCCTCCATCTTCTCGTCCTCGTGAGCCTCGTTTCCGATCCAAACAAACACCTGAAGGAGGACACAGGAAGTGAGGACATAAAGAGGATGGGGGGGGGTGTTGTTACCATGGTGATGGCAGAAGACAAACCTGGTCCCAGGTATCCAAGATCATGACATCATCAGGAGCGAGGTCATCCTGAGTCAGCTCACCTGGAACTTCGTCCATCTGAACACAAACACAGTTTATGAACTGATTGATTTACAATTAAATCATTTACAAAACAGCTGACCACTTATTTACCTATAAAACACCCAGAAACCACCTGTGACACCTGGCAACCGCTAGTGCAACTACATAGTAAGTCGTTAGCATGAAGCTAATGTTAGCTAACTAGCATACGTGAACCTCCTGGAACCTGATGGTCATGTGACCAGACTGACCAGGAAGTTTCCAGTTTTGTTGGAGCAGGCGAACAGACGAGGAGGATGAGCCTCCATCTTGTTCTTCAGCCGGGGGGTACGACAGTAGTCCTCCTGCCCCCCCAACGCTTCCCAGAATGCATCTGTAACCACACACATACACTGAGGGTTAAAGGTCTGGGTCATCGTGGACCCACAGACTCCTCTGTCACCCCGCCCCCCTTACCTTCCTCCTGCCCCTCCTCCAGTGCAGTGGGGGTCACCTGCAGGAGTCCAGCCAGGTGCTCCGCCCCCCGGACTTCAGCTGAGCTGCTGCTCCTCCCTCTCCACATCCAGGACCCAGAGGACGAGACCAGGAGGAAGACATCACTGGAGTTCAGACTGGAGGAGGCCGGATCCACCTGAGGAAGACCACAGGAGTCAGGGATTGAACTGGTCAAACTGGGTTTACACTGGGACCAGATCTTGCAGTCTGATGGCAAATAAGTCTGGTTCTGTTTCCTGTCTCACCTCCACAGCTCTGGAGTCCCCAGCTGGATTGGCTCGGATCTGGAACAGGCGAGTGTCTGCTGGCTCTGATTGGCCACCTTCTCTGGAAGTCCCGCCTTTGTAGACCACCATTGGTTGGCCTCCAAACAGGCTCATGAGGTGGGCCGGCTCTTTGCCCTGAACCACGCCCACCTGCAGACAGGAAGTGATGTGTTGAGGGTGAATTCAGTGTGTGGGTGTGTCAGAGAGAACTGGTCCCAGTGCTCCCAGTACCTGTACTGCACCTCCTCCCAGTTCATCATCCAGCTGGACCGCCAAGATCGCAGACGCTCCCACCTCATCCTGGCTAGACTCCGCCCCCTGCCTGCAGACAGAGAGAGAGCCGCAGTGACAGGAAGCTGACACCAGAGGGAGCCCTCCGTACCAACAAACTGATCAATATTCTGATCGATATTCACAGGAAATAATCAAATCTCTTCCACAAACTTCCTGCAGTCGTTGATTTCACTGTTTGGTGCATTGGACAGTTGATCAGCTGTTATTGATCAATAGAATATGAAATAAAGTTTATTGATGATAGAACCTAAATGAATGTTGATCTCTTTGTGCAGCAGAGATTTGATTCTTGTTGAATTCCAGATTTCACTTTTCTAAAATATTGTCAATTCGTTAAAAATCAAACTTGTTCCAGTGAGAATAAAATCTCCTGTAGTTTGGTGATGTATGGATCCATGTTTTGGGAGGGGGACTGCTGTGATTGGTGACTTATCAGGAAACAAGGTTGTACAGAATTCACAGTGATTGGTTAAATTTGTTGAATTTGAACTGTTCACAACTTCCTGGTCCGGATGATTTATTCACTCTAAATTAATCTTTTCTAATTTCCAGCTCTTGTAATTAAGTCTCCAACTAAAGAAAGAACTGAGAGAAAAGTGGTTCTCTCCATAATACTCAAAACAAAAGCAGTAATTAAAACCAAAGGAGACGCTCTCTTTTAGACCAAAAACTAAATTCAGATACGTTTCAGCATCAAGCCTTTGTACATCTCCCTGTCGGTTCACTCTCCACACAAACCAGAGCTCTGATAGGTTTAACCTACACTCATCATAGGACTTCAGAATAAAAGCGTAAGAATAGCTGTTTACCTTACACAATAAGAGCGTGATATCTCACCATATGTAGATGATGTGACCCTGTCTGTTGTTGTGTCGGTACTGATACAGAATGATGTAACTGTCTCCTCCATAGAACTGACCAAAAACTGATGGATCCACTGGAACCTTGTCTGATCCTTCAATACGCCAGATCTACAGACAAGCAGACAGACAGACAGACAGAAGATATTTAGTTTGCAGTGGAGAAACTACATCTCCCATGATTCTGAAGTCCAGTTTAGACAAACAGTCTTAGATCGTTACAGGAACAGCTGCAGTGGTGTGAACTGTGAGTTACAGATACAAATGCTCAACTGTAGACTGTATACATATATACATATATA